ACGGCCGGGGGTGCCCCCTGCAGCGGGGGATGCCAGGGCCGCAGCCCTCCTCGTCCTCCCCAGTTGGCGGGAGTTGGGTGAGGGGAGGCTGGAGCAGCCCCTTTGCCTTGGGAAGGGGCTGTCAGGGGCACCCACCGTCGCTGTGGGGCTGGGGAGCCTGGGGACCGCCCTGCAAGGAGAGGGGTGGGTAACAGAGGGATCCAGCCTGGCTATGGGGCAGGGGAGCTGGCTGGGGAACCCCACTGCAATAGGGGGGATGCCAGGGGCAACCCTGGCTCTGGGGCATGGGGCTCTTACTGGAGGAAGCCTCACTGTGTAAGGGGCAAGGGTAGCCCCAGGATTGCCCACTCTTCTGTAGGGCAGGGCAGGCCACGATGGGGCTACGGGGATGCCTGTGTGCCCCCATCACCCCACGGGAAGTGGGGGATTCAGGGCCTTGAGGGCTCCCCTGGGGCGGCCTCAGAGCCAGGGCTGTACCGTGCACCTTTCCACAGATGCGGAAGAAACCTCCTCCCCTCCTCTCCTCCATGGGGTGTTTCTCCTGGTCCAGCCCTGCTCCATCCGAGGGGCTGTGGGGCATCTCTGTGTGCACCTCCCCTGCTTCAGTCCCTTTGCCTGTGCTGTCCTGGTCCCTGTTGAGGCCCCTGCACTCCCCCGGGGATGGGAGGAACAAGTGAAACGTCTGGTTCAGGAGGTGTTTAGGAACAAGAGGCTGGTGGTGATGAAGAAGATGCTCTCTGCAGGGCCTTGGGAGCAAGGCTACCACGGGGAGAGAGCACTCGTCTCTCAGAGGAAGCTTTCACAAGTGCTTTTCCCATCTGGTGCTCCTCACGTTTGCCTTATCTGAACCCTGTCCTTCCTGGTGCGTGGACGTGGTCTGAAATGCTTAGTTGGCTTGAAATGCTGCTAGGCCAGTTCAATCTCTCTTTCTAATGTGCTTTCTCTTCTTTGTCGCTGCGCCGGCTCCGTCAGGTTGATGGGACAACGCAGGACTGTGACAAGCAAAGGGAAAGCAAGGAGCAGTTCCCCCGTCAGGTTGATGGGACAAGCCAGGACTGCGACGAGCAAAGGGAAAGCAAGGAGCAGTTCGCGTTCCTCCTCTTTTGCTCACGGGGGAAGAAAATGCAGAGCTCTCCCTGGGTATTTTGTCTCCCTATGGCTCCCATCTGAGAGCTGCAGGTCAGAGCCATGCTCCCAGCTGGTGGTCATAGACAGCATCACTCTTCTGCAGTGGGTGACTTCAAGCTCCTGCTTGGAAAGCTGAAACCAGGTGAACCGGTCTGGGAGGCTGTCAGTCCTGCCCCGACAATGCAGTCCAACGTCAAGTTTTTGGCAAAGTTCTCCCCTGCTCCTAACTTGGCAGATATCCTGCTATCCAGGAGCCTTGTTACCTCCTCTAAATACTTTGCTTGCCAGTCCTTTCCAGGGACAGTTACCGACAGCTCTTGGACAGCACAACCACGAAGGGTGGAGGTGGGACATGCTGCATCCATGGTCCTGGATGTAAGCTCCCTTTCTGCTGTTTTGTCTGAGGTTTGGGACATCTTCCTGTGCAGATTCTTGGCGCTCTCCTTTCTTTGCCCTGACGAGCTGGCATAGCTCTTTGTAAAGATTTGGAGGCCTTGTAAGCTTCCCTTTCCATGACACTTTGTGCATTTGGTTGCCTGGTTTTATTAGCTTTAAGTTGGTGGTTTTCCCCCAGTAGATTTAGGGTGGCAGAAGGAGTAAGTGTTGTTTTGTGTTTCCAGTGCTGCCTTGGGGTTTTTGCATTGGGAATTCTCACCCCGGTAATTTTCTGGGGATGTGTTGGCAGGTCGGTCCAGTGTGGTAGCCTGTGCGATGGGTTGTTTATTTCCTGCTCTGCAGGGAGATGGGAGCCCCCAGGCTCCATGTGGGGGGTATTTAAATGCTTCTTTAACAGGGGAGAAACAGAATCTGTAATAATAAATATGTTCCATGTCCAAAGTAGCACTGAGGTTTCATGGATGTGCTTTCTGCTGCAGTATCAGTAACCCACACCCTGCAGTGATCTCCTCGTGAGCGGTGTCACGCAGATACCACAGCCGCTGCACTGTCAGTCGCCCCTTGTACCAGACACCGAGCGTCTGGGTAACAAGAAATGCCTGTCCCAAAGAGCTTAAACTGAGACAGGATGGGGAGCTTGTCAGTTTGGGAGCACAGCATCAGCTTAGCTCTTGGCTTCAGACCTAGCAGTGTGCTTGCTCAGATGTAGTGCCAGCCCTGAGCTCTCTGGCCATGCAGAAGTCGGGTGAAGATGGCTTTGGCCGAAGGGTTAAGCTTGGAGACAGCTGACCTGCATCAGACAAGAGTGAGTAAATAAAGTTACTGAGCATCACTTGGTATCGCTCCTCTGCCTTGGTTTTCTCAGCAGGATGATGCACCTTTGTGTGGAGCTGCAGGATCTGCAGGGTCAGCTACGGGGGCAAGAGTTGGAGGAGCAGGATCAGACATCGAGGGTACCACAGACACCACAGCACAAACTTGTGCACATGCTTGTGTGACTTGGAAGTTGCCTGTTGCACATCTCAGAGCCCGTTGAACCCCCTGCACGGGTGGGTAGGGCAGAGAATTGGTAAAGGTGGGACAAACACGGGGCAGATCTGCTTCATGCAGCAGTCAGAGCTCACCCATGCAGGGTGGTGGTGTTCAACCCTGCCCCTGTACCTGCGGGAAATGAGATTGTCATCTTGTGTGGGAGCACAGGATGATGGGCTGTGCAATTAGATCAGCTTGGGATGCTTCGTTTGGGTTCAAATCCTTTAAAAAGAGCTGCCTGTGGGATGTATGAGCCGTTAGACAGTGAAGGCATCGGCCGATTGCCTCAGAGCCCCAGGAAAGGGTTTCTTCACCCAGAGCTGGCTGCCACATCCCCTTCTCTGTCTCTGACACACATCGTTTGCTTGGCCGGTGAAGTTCAGGCGTGAATCACAGCGGTCACCCATCGGCAGCGCCTGGATCCCTGCTGTCACCAGCTTGTGTGAGCTTGGAGCTGGATATCGGCTTTTCTTCGGCAAGGAGCTACCGTGAGTCACTGGGAAGCAGCGCTGATCCGGAGGGATTGTTTTTCTTCTGCTTGATAATCTGCTTGCTCTGCCCACCCACGGGGGCGCCTCTGCTTAGCGGTTGTCCTGACTCTTGGATGCTAATTAGTCAGCAAACTCTTTCCTAGGCTTGATCTGATGGGTAAACACAGGGAGCCTTTTCAGCTGCTGCGACAGCGAGCCCACCCCTTGCCAGGCTTCACCACCAGAATCTCTCTGTGCTGTGGTTGTTTCCAGCCTCTGGATCTCCGCATCCCTCCCCTGCCAGCTGGGCCTGTTGCCGCCTCCTCCTCAGCATCAACTGGTTCCCAGTGTGCTTTCCAGCTGCACCAGGCTGCTGGCCCCCTCCTACACAGCCAGGCTCTGCTCATTTTACTGCCGGGCACCATCTGCAGCTCCTGGAAACCAGGCCAGCTCTGTTGACCCATGTGGAGCCTGTCCCTTGTGTGCCAGCTCTGAATGGGCTCTTGTCCCCACCGTGGGATGCAGGACTGTGCTGTGTACTCGGTGATGGAGAGGACTTGTTTACCAGTCGTTGTTTTTCAGGGTGGGGTGGCTGTGAATGGTTTCCCAAATTGAGGTAATAACTCAGGATCCCTGTCTCGCTTCCTGTAAAACCAGTGATGAGCACTCGTCTAGCAGCTCCTCTGCGAGGTGATGCTCCCCGTGTGGTGTCCGCAGCCCTCGGGGTCCCTGTGCCCATGAGGAAGGGAGCCGAGGGACTGAGAGGTGGTGACTCATTTCAGGCCACGTAGGACGTGGTTGATTAAGCTGGGATTTGGCCCCCAGTCAAACCGTGTCAAAACAGCTTCACCATGGCATTGGCTACGAGCCTGAGAGCCAGTGAGGGGTTCAAGCCCTCAGGTGTGTTGTGAAGGAGCCCTGGTGTTGCTGGGTCCTTCCCTGTCCTGCAGGGCTTGGAAGTGTAAATTCCCAAACCTTGAAAACCCCTTGGTGGAAAAGGGAATGACCATCAGTGAGTAAGGCAGGAGCAGCGAGACATGGAGTGAACTACTCAGAGTAAACCAGAGGCACAGAAAAGAGCAGATTTCAAATCCCAGCTCAGGCTGGAGAGAGCCTCAGAGTCTGAACAAGGCTTTTCTTTACTGCTGCAGAGAGCAAATCTTCAGCTGAATGTGGCACTTTGCATCTAAGGCTTTGCAGACAGAAGGTTATTGAAGTTGCCTT